AGGTAGCTAGAGCCCTCAAATTTCATTCCCAAGTTCCTGTTAAGTTTTGGGGGAATGTGTCACCACAACCTGTTATATCATTAACATGCTGTCTTCTTCTTCTTTAGCTGGTAAAAGCCCCTTTGAACTTCTTCATGGTAAACCCCCCAATTTGTCTCATATAAGAGTTTTTGGTTGTTTATGTTATGCCACCCAACCAAATTAGAAGGATAAGTTTTCCCCAAAAGCAATACCTTCTGTCTTCATGAAAGGCGACCTCCTATTCAATCTTGACAAAAAAATCCTTTTTTGTTAATAGAGATGTTAAGTTCCATGAGGATATTTTCCCCTTCCAATTTCCCATTTCTTCTTCTTCTCTATTTTTTCCTATTCAAGAAATTTTTTATTCTGATTTTCTGGTCTTGCCCCCTCACACCCAATCTTTTATACCTGCTGGGTCTTCACCTCATTCTGCATCATCTCAAGCTTTAACAGATGATTCCATTTTACCTCAACCTTCACCTCAGCCAATTATTTCTGATGGCTCTTCATCAAGTAGCATTTCTATCCCCCAAGGCAGTCTACTAGGGTCAAAAAATAGCCTGCTTGGTTACATGATTATGTGCAGTCCTACCAATCTTCCTCTCTTCAAGGTACTTATCCAATCTCTAACTTTCTTTCTTATTCTCATCTTCTTGCTAAAACTCAACTTTACCTTTCTTATATATCTCATTTAGTGTAGCCTAAGACCTATACTGAAGCCATTCAAAATCCTGAATGGATTAAAGCCATGAATGAGGAGATTTTAGCTTTGGAATCTAATAATACCTGGTCATTGGTGCCCTTGCCTTCTAATAAGACTCCCATTGGAAGTAAATGGATGTATCGCATCAAATATAATTCAAATGGAGAAGTGGAGAGATTTAAAGCTCGTCTTTTTGCTAAAGGATACACTCAAAGAGAATTGGTTGATTATGTTGAGACCTTCTCACCTGTGGCAAAGATGGTCATTGTTAGAACAGTCTTGGCTCTTGCTTCTATTCATCAATGGCCTCTTCTTCAGATGGATGTCTATAATGCTTTCCTCCAGGGTGATTTAGTTGAGGAGGTATACATGTCCCTACCTAAAGGATTTTTCAGTTAGGGGGAGACCAGGGTGTGAAGACTGCAAAAATCCTTGTATGGATTAAAGCAGGCTTCAAGGCAGTGGGACATGAAACTCACAGAGGCTCTTCTACTGGCAAGATATTCTCAAAGCAAGTTTGACTACTCATTGTTTACTAAGTCACAAGGAAGCAAAGTAGTCATAATGCTTATATATGTGGATAATCTTTTGATAACTGGAAATGACAGTGGATTGATTAAAGAACTCAAAGGAATTCTAAATAAAAGCTTCAAAATGAAAGATCTTGGTGAATTAAGGTATTTCCTTGGCTTAGAAATATTAAGATCAGAAAAAGGAATAATTATAATTCAAAAGAAGTATGCATTGGAGTTAATTGAAGAAACTGGACTGTGGGTGCAAGGCCTGCTGCAACTCCTTTAGAACAAAATAAGAGGTTGACTTCAGAAGATGAGCTGTTAAAGGACAAGACAAGATATCAAAGGTTGATTGAGAAGTTGATTTATCTCACCAACATAAGGCCTTGCATTGCTTATTCAGTGCAATTGTTGAGTCAATTCTTGCAACAACCAAGGAAATTACACTTGGATGCAGCTTTGAGGGTGGTCAGGTATATCAAAAGCAGTCCAGGGCAAGGAGTATTGTTGAGTGCAGGAAGTCAATGCCAACTTCAAGCCTTTTGTGATTTAGATTGGGCAACTTGCCCAATGACTAGGAGGTCAATAACAGGTTTTTGTGTGAAACTAGGGGACTCTTTGTTATCTTGGAAGTCCAAGAAACAAAACACAATTGCAAGATCATCTGCAGAGGCAGAGTATCGTAGCATGGCAATAGCTGCAACAGAAATAGTATGGTTAACAGGCTTGCTGAATGAACTTGGGTTTAAAAACACAGGATTAACTAAGTTGATGTGTGATAACAAGGCAGCTCTTCAAATAGTAGCAAATCAGTTTTCCACGAAAGAACAAAGCACATTGAAATAGATTGCCATTTTGTTCGAGAAAAAATTCAAGAGGGAATAATTAAAACAGAGTACGTGAAGACAACAGACCAGCAAGCAGACATTCTAACAAAAGCTTTGGGAGTTCAACGGCATGAATATTTGAGCTCCAAGTTGGGGTTAATCAATATCTTTAACCACCAACTTGAGGGAGAGTTAATTTTCAATTATTTGGTTAGTTAGACTGTTGTTAATTAGTTAGATTGTTAGTTAGGCTAGTAATTGTTGGTGGGCTGTATATAAAGGATTTAGTCTTGTAAACTTGATTATATGATAAATAAGATAGCTGGAGCACGTTTTCTGTAATTACACCTTTTTTAACACTATACGCTACACTAAAGCCAAATAAACCCCCCAATATACCTTCTTTCCTAATCTAAACAACCAAAACGAGCCAAAAACCAACATGCAAAGCACTGCCAATGCCTAAGGGGACCGACCGCTTAACTCCCCACCCGCGACACTCAACTCCGGTGAAAGACTCGACGAACCAGGTAACGACCCCTCCCTCTTTCTCTGTTTTTTTTTGGGTTCAAAAGCCTAAGGAGAACGGATAAAAAACCCAAATGGAGATCAAAACTACCTCTGAAAATAGGGTTTTCTTTTGCGTTGTATTACTTTCTTTCTTTCAAAAATGGGGGAGAAGAACTGTTACCCCTGGGTTCTATTTCCGAATGGGAAAAAATCATTACAATGGTGGATGTTTTTTTGAATGGGGGAGGAAACTCTCTTTATATTCCTTTTTTTAATTGAGGATCCCCCCACATTTTGTTTGTTTTGGGGGTTTTAATAACTCTATGTTACAATCGGAGGAAAAAACCAAAAATAAAAAAAATCCTCATTCCTTATTCGTTTGTTTGCATGTGTTAATGAGCGCGGAGGGGGGACTGGGTTTGCTGCTGTCGTGGAGTGTTTGGGTTTGGGACCACGAGAGGCAGTCATGGAGGTGTTAGAGAGCTGCTGTGGATATGAGGGGACCACCGCCTGTTGCTTCTGTGGAGCGAGAGCCAGCTGGGGAGGCTCGTGCTCACGTGGAAAGCGAAGAGGCAACGTGAGGCGGCTGGAGCATAGGAACCTTAGGGTTTCTAGTGTTAGCTATTGATATGGGCCATCCAAGTTTAGGCTGATTGACATCATTTTTGAGACTGTTATACATGAAACCTGTGGGTTGTTGAATGTTTGGTTAATTGTACAGGTTAACTTGTATTTGGGTTGTTTTTGTGCATTGGACTGATTTTTACTTTGGTGCTTTGGTATATGGATCCTGGATTTTAAATTGGATTAAAAATCTAATTAGAAATGTGAACATGTATCAATCCATAACAATCAAGGGTATGCAAGATTTAATTTGAAGCCCTCTGACCCATAACTTTGATGGTTCTTTAGAGTTCCACCCACGTAACTTGAATCAACTTAACGTCACTCGTGTAGCTCCAAAATCGATTTTTGATTGTCTCGAAAAACTCGGACAAAATTAGGGTTTTACATATATCATTGGCGATGCTTCCATTGATGTATGAACGTTGGATAATTGAAATAAATGTATTAAATACACATTTTTATAGGTATATTTGTTTCAGGTCACTTCAATGAATAATACTACATATGATATTTAGGTCGCATCGGTCGAGTATTAAGTGTTATAATCATGATTGCATTAGTGATGATCTACTAAAGGATGTTATTTATAATTGATAACTAAATTCTAGCTTTTACTAAAAATATAAAATGATCCGATTATAACTTTTTAAAATACGATAACACAAATGTAAAATTACTCATAATATAACGACTTTGTGATGATATCTCTATTATAAATAGACTATTATGTATGCTTATTGACGATGAAATGACACAAGGTAATAAATCAATTATATGAGCACTATATATGTACTTATCATAAAATGATCAAAATATGAACTTACTAATAATTGAAAGGACATGGACTTAATTATATTTAATTATAAATTTTTGGATAAACTATGCATTTAGTACTTAAACTATCGTTGTGATTTGTTTTAGTATGTAAACTTTCATTTTTTTAAATCATACCTAACTTTTAGTTTTTATTTCATTTTAGTATCCCATTGTTAAAAACTTAATGGACGAGCTTGTTAGTCGCAGCGTTTACAATCGCTGACTGTCGCATATGTCGGTTGATGAAGCCTAAACTTTCTAACCTGCACCTTTTTGACCCCCTAAACACAATTTTAGCCTTCGTTTCATCGAAAAATGCCTCAATCTCCCCAAATCAATGAAGGACTCTTCGATTTCTTTATCCTTTGATTTCTATGACCCACCGTCCAATGGCTTGAAACTGGACTATGCTTGTGATCCACCGTTTAGATTGGTCATCCGTCCACCAAAGTTATGAGGTAATAAAATAAAACAAAAACTAAACGTTATATATAGTTTTAAATACAAATGAAAGTTTATGTACTAAAACGAACCAAAACTAATAGTTTATGCACTAAACGTGTAGTTTACCCTAAATTTTTAGGTAAACTACATGTTTAGTACCTCAACTATCACTTTTTTATGTTTTGGTCACTCAACTATTTTTTTTTCAAAATCATACCTAACATTTAATTTTGGTTTCATTTTGGTCACTTGTAATCAAAAAATCAACGGTGATGTCGACGTGTCAATATAAGATAATATCATATCATCATTGAAGAAAAATAAAAAATGTCACGTTAGCAGTAATGTTAATTTTTTAACGGTAAGTGACCAAAATGAAATAAATACATAATATTAGATGTGATTTTAAAAAAGAAAAGTTAGACAACTAAATCGGAACAAAAGTTATAGTTGGGTACTAAACATGTAGTTTAACTTAGCTTTTTTGTTTTTGGTTGTTGTCTGCAACTGTCTCTCTCTACCTTGAATCAGGCACTCCTCTTATTCTAGAACACTTCTCCCCTAAGCAAAATCGCTCTCGTTCTCGTCTCTAATCAACGTGTGCTAGGAGACTGTCAAACAATAAGACGGAGGTTACCAAAAATGGAGAACTCCGATGTTTTCCTAGGATTGCAAGATTTTCTAGAGCGTATGCGCCAGCCCACCGCCGCTGATTTCGTCAAATCTATCAAAAGGTCTCTCAATCTCTTTTTTTTTTCCCTTCGTTTGTTTTTAATTGCTCATCTTTAAATGTATATAGAGACTCGAGATTGTACGTGATTTGCTACATACCGGAAGTGATTAATGATTATATATTTGGTCGATGATTTAAATTATTAGTCGCTTTCTTCAAATTTAAGTAAAATTCCCGATGTGGATGGTGTTTTTCTTAGTTACTTTCCAAATCAACTTAATCTAAGAAGGATTGGGTTGCTTTGTTTCTTTTAGGATATCATTTCTAGGTTTTAACTTTTGCGTTTCGTTCGTATCGTCATATTACAGTTTCATAGTTTCGTTCTCGAACAATCCTCCTGATCCCGAAAGGGATAGTGCGGCCGTACAGGCATTCTTTGCCAATATGGAAGCTGCTTTTCGAGTTCATCCACTTTGGGCAGGATGCTCTGAGGAGGAGCTGGACAGTGCTGGTGAAGTAAGTCGCCTTATACCTATTTTACTTGCATATGTTCAATGCATTAAATTACTTACCTTCCTTATATTTGGGTGATTTTTTTTAAAGGAAAAGCTTTATCTGGCATTGATGGATTCACTTTTTTTTTTCAAATACAGGGATTGGAGAAGTATGTTATGACAAAGTTATTTACTCGTGTTTTTGCTTCACTCCCAGATGATGTAAAGAAGGATGAACAACTTTCTGAGAAGATGGCTCTAGTTCAGCAATTTGTTCGGCCTGAGAATTTGGATATTAAGCCAACCTTTCAGAACGAGACATCATGGCTGGTAAATGGTGGAATTTATGTCTCAATACATGCACACTAACACACGTATTGTTTGCATTATGGAGTAAACTTACCTTCGGCATACATGTCTCTTTGAACTATTTCTATTTTTGTTATGTTTGGCAATCTGTTGTACTGAGGAGTGTGAACCCTTTTTAACCTGTGCCAGAGTATGCTTTATATATCTTCTGTGCAAATAATGTAATGATATGGCATTGGTTGGAAGTAACAAAACATTTACAAGGTGTTTGCTTCCTTGAAGATAAGAATCAACGACTTTATCTACAAATCAGGTGTTAACAGCTACTTAATATGAAGCTGCTAGGATTCTCAAAATCGATCATGGTGAAACAAACAAAAATGGCTAACATTTTTATTAGATTCTTCCAAGGATGGAATGCTAATAGGTATTATGACTTCTTTAATTTGTCTAAGGGGGCCAGAAAGATTGACCATAGAAGAGCAAAAATCTTATGAAGGTAGGACATTGGTAAGAAAATTGCCTTATAGAGAATCTATTTTCCTTACGGCATCCCTGGTTAAGCCTAAAAGAGAACTTGTATCAAAGTTGTATTATGTGGTAGATTCTTTGGTGCCTTAACCCATTTTAGCATTGGAGTCTAAATTTTATATGAACTCATTTTAATGTTTCCTCCCATGGGATGACCTAACGAAGAATGTGCACTCATGAGTCCTGATGTGCTTTTCTAGTTCTACAAGGCCTTGTGCAGTATGCCTTGGTAACATGACAAGACAATGCAACACCAATCCATTTTTAGATGGCAGTTTATCTGTTTTTTCCCCTATTGAGTGTATGCCTATCTAAATTTAGATATTATACCGAAGCAAAACAATGAACGTTGATGCATAAGTGGATACTTGAAGTTGCATTCTATGTAACCATACACACACACACACACGTATCTGTTTTCCCCCTTGTTTGATGCCTCTAATTTTATTTTATTCCTTTTCATTTTGTTTCATACTATGGAGAATATTCCCCTTTTATGGGAGTTTCATGCCTCACTATTTTCATTTTTCTATGAATTCTACATCTGACTGTTGATATTGTCTTAAAAATGATCGTTGAATTCACTTTGATACTGTGCTCATAGCTCCAGCAGTTGTTCGAACTTGTAGCTAATATTTCTGTTGCAAATAGAATTAAATACTCTATTGAAGTAATGCACGAATTGGAAGCTGAAGTTTTGGCTGCTTTTAAAGGATGTTGTCCTTAGAAACATTTTCCACAAAAGAGCATCTCGTTTTTGGTAGTTTTGGTTGCAAAATACTTGGGAATATGGTCCATAAGTTTTTTCCCTAACTCTAGATAGGTTTGCTAATTATCAGCAAAATAGGCTGATAGTGATGTTGATGTAGGTTTCTATTTTCGTTAAATGAACAATAGTAACCAGTTCATTATTGCAAATTATTTACAAAGACTTTCCAATATAAGGAAAGTCCATCTAAAACATGTTTGTCATCATAATAATGTCCAATCTACCTGTTAAAATTGCTGCTTTTTAATTTGATACTCTTATATGTGTCCGACTTTTTGTCTTCCATTTAACTCGAGATCTAATAACCATTGAACAATGTGTCTTGTTTTATGAATAATTACTATTGAGCAATATATCATTCTATATCAACTGCCTCTTACTTTTTTGCTGGTTGAATAACATTTATTAATCATGAGCAAGATATGTCCCAACACTTGAGTGCAGTTCGATTATGGTTCTAATTTATTTCTGAAAAATATTTTATTCAATGAAGCTTGTACGTTTATATGCTTGGAAGTTTGGATTCCCCACTATGATAGCTATTCTACCTATCAGTCTCTTCCCTGATTCTGTACTTTATGTTGCCAGCTTGCACAGAAAGAGCTACAAAAAATCAATATGTACAAAGCTCCAAGAGACAAGCTTGTGTGTGTCCTCAATTGTTGCAAGGTTATCAATAATTTATTGCTTAATTCTTCAATTGCTTCAAATGCGAATCCTCCTGGAGCTGATGATTTTCTTCCTGTGTTGATTTATGTTACCATAAAGGTAAGATCAGTAATGTATAAATAATTTGTTTAGTTGATCATCCCTTCACGAAAAAATGGTAATAATGGTTTTCTTTTTCTCTAATGGAAATTTTTATGTAGGCAAATCCTCCACAACTTCACTCAAATTTATTGTATATACAGCGTTATAGATGTCAATCTCGATTAGTTTCTGAAGCAGCCTATTTTTTCACGAACATGCTCTCTGCTGAGGCTTTCATTTCAAATATTGATGCAAAAGCCCTTTCGATGGAGGAAACTGAGTTTGAGAAAAACATGGAGTTTGCTCGAGCTCTTCTTTCTGGCCTTTCAACAGATTTGGATGGTTTGTCCAGTCAAATCAACCAAATTGCTGGACAAAATCAGAGAGAACCAACTGAATCCAGACATCACACTCTTAAGGAGGACCACGCTATTAGGTCTAAATCTTCCGAAGGAAAATGGTCAAGTAAAGAAGATCTGTCTTCAATCACTAAAATTCCATCAATCTCAGATTTGGAGAATAGAGGGGCAACTATACTTCTGAAGGAGGATCAGACGAGCAAAGTGTTTCGAGAGTACCCTTACATGTTTGCTAATGCCGGTGATTTGACTATAAATGATGTTGAGGACCTGCTAAATAACTACAAACAACTAGTGTTCAAGTATGTTTGTCTTTTAAAAGGATCGGATGGTGCTTCTGCAGCTTTTCCTTTGTCTAAGTTGCAAGCTCAACGTCAGCAACATGTTGAAACAGTTGAGAAATATCAAGATAATAGAGAAATACTGCAAAATATCGGGTCACAAAAGGATACCGACAGGGAGGATGATGGTCCAAATGGAATATCCGATCAAGAAAATACAGAATCCCACTTACCTAAGGAAGAGGCATCTGCATCCTCAGAGCACAATCATGTCGACACATCTGAACAATAGCTAAATTGTAAGATTTTTTCTTTATACCTGAATAATGTTGGCCTTTCAACATCACAGTAACTTAGCACTTTGACTCCTTTGCTCCCTTTTACATGGTGAACAGAATGTTGTCATAACGTCAACTAAGAGACAATGGCAGACCTTTAACTTTGAACTCAAAAGAAGGCCGTTCTGTTGTCAAGCAAGAGGAAACCCAAGAAGGTTGGTGAAGTCTGCATTTGGTTCAAGATGTGATCGTGCCCAATATATGGAAGTTGTGCTGTAACGCCCTTGGTTCAACACTACAAAGCCTTGTTTCCAGCACACGCACATGAAGAAGATAGGTACGGTTCTTGTGTCATCTTTTGTATACCATGACTGTGGTTCATTGTGGACTTGGGTACCTTTGTTTTGAAGCAAGGTGCTGCAACCTTTTAAATTATACACTAATGATGTCACGTTTCGATAATTGACTCAGCTATAGGTACATTGAACATCGGTTGTGAACATAATATTCTTGACTAAAATTTGTGAATTCGTTTACTTTTTTCTTTCAAGCATGCTACTCGCATTTGAACCTTTGAATTTCTGAAATTGGAAGAAATAATTATTATATGATAGGTATTTGGTTATTCGGTCATAGTATATATTATCTTTTGGAAAACCATTTATTGATCAAACAATAACGTAAGGAGTGACATATATAATGTAAAACTTTTTAGTTTTACACAAATTTAAGATCGTTGGATGAATGGAAATAGATGATTGAGATTAGCAGTAGGAAGTGAGAAGATGTTTACTGGAAGAAGTTAATCTCAGTCGTCTATTTTCACTCTTTCAACGATCCTAAATCTGTATAAAACTAAAAAAATTTACACTATATAAATGAATCCTAATCCATATATATATGATTTAGTTATACTAGGTGTACAATTGTTTACCATTCCTTTTTCGCAAGTAATATTTGTTTCATCTAATAGTTTTTTCCCAATCATGTGCCTTGTGTTTTGAATAAATTTGAAAACGTCGAACATATTTATACACTATATTAACAATTCCTTAAGGGATCATTTGGTTAACGGAATGTAAGATTATCTTGTATGGCTTGTTAGACACGAATGTAACATTACAATGTTTGGTTGAAGGAATATAAGATAAGAATATTGTATGATATATCAAATTGTCCGTGAGATATAATTTTTTTATTAACAAGTTGAATTCGTAAAGTTAAAATGAAAATATTTACATGAAAATTCATAAAAAATATATTTTTTTTATTAATTTAATTTATATATTTGTCGTAACCGTCCTTCGGGTGGGCCTGAAATCGAGCTTCGACTTAAATAAATGTGTTAGAGCCGCAACTGATCATTTAAAATTAGGTTGATCAGATACTTTACTTTATCGTCTTACCTGATATATGTTTTACTAGAAATATATCGGATTCGGGAGTCGATTACAATCAATGAAGGATTAACACCCTTGTATTGTCCTTTCGGTACCAATTTAATTTTCCGATTGTCTTAATTGCTAAAATTAAAACTTAAACTAAAATTTGAAATTCAATCTGAATTACTTACATTTGATCGATTAAAAAATATCCTAAAATGGGGGTTAAAAATGAAGTTAATTAATAAAGATAAAAGAAAAAATGCAAAAAAAATAATATTAGGGTTATAATAAAAAAATAAAATAAATTAAATTAAAATTAAATAAATAAAAAGAAATAAAAGAAATTCAAATTAAAAGGGTTAAATCACAAAAAATTTAAAATTAAAGACCAAATTGATATTATTTGAAAGGTGCAAGAAATAATAAAAAAGGTTAGGGGTTAAATTGCATAAATATAAAAATATAATCGAGGATTAAATTGAAATAATTCAAAATTCAAAGGCCAATTTACAATAGGTGACCAAAATGAATTATACATCAAAAGTTTAGGGACCGTAGAAATAATTAAACTATTTGATATTTTCACTTTAGTCCCCTAGTTACATATACCCCAAAACCTAAAAAATATATTTTTAAACCTTTCATTAAAAAAAACCTCTCAAAACACTCTCCGCTCTCCCTTTAACCGGCCTAGCACCGGTCACTCTTCGGTGGGACACCGCCGCTGCTCCGACTCGTCGGCCACCGGGTCACTCTAAAACCTACCCGAAAGCCTACCCTCGTAATCCCGAAACCAAAATCGAGAGCCAAAACCCCTAAAAACAGTCCAAAAAGTGCAAATCTACCCCCAAAGTTACGATTTTTTACCTTTAGTTCGATGAATCTTTGAGTTCCGGTGACCTTTCTCTTCCAACAGGGCCTTTTTACGCTCCAATCCTTGTTTTCTAACACTTTTTGGTTATTTTGTTCTTGTTTGGATGTGATTGTTGGTTTTTTTTGGGTATGTTGCTTGTTTCGTCACTTGCGTGATGTGGATACTGTGACTTTTCTTGCTTTTTTCTTTGCTGGATGTGGTTGTTGTGTTCTCCGATGTTTGCTGAGTTTTTGATGCCTTTTTCGACACTTAGTCGTAGGCTTTTATAGCCTTAGATCCAACCGTTGGGGTCCCGAAAATCTCAGGGTCATCTCCGATCATTCTGGGGTTGTGACTTGTTTGTTTTGTTCATATTCCCGTTGAGGTTGTTTGCCGAAAATCTCGGGATGGTTCAGTCTGGGAGCTCGACCGAAAATCTCGACCGCGCTGCCTGCTTCCTCTCTTGCGACGCCCCTGGTTAAACACGAAACCCTAATGATTTGGGTTACGTCAGGCCCCCTAACCGGGTTTGCTAGGTCAGGCTACCCGATTGAGCTCCTTGCTGGACTAGACTTTGATTCTTTGGACCTGAAATAAAATAAATAAATTAATAAATATAAATATAAATATAAGGTAAAATAAATAACATTAATATAATATAATATATATATACACTAAATAATATATAAATATAAATATAGTAAATATATATTTATATTATAATATATAAATATAATAATAAATATAACATATACAATATATATACTATACTATAGAATATATATATAGTATAATATATACTAAATATACTATATAATAAATAATATATATAAAATATACTAAATATATACACTATATAAATAATATATACTATATATATATATTAATATAATAATAATATATCATATAATATATACTATACATATATATAAAATAAAAAAGGGTTGGACAAAAATGAGTGCCTACAATATTATTTTGTAAATTTTCCATAAAAATAATTTTATATATTTTTTACAATTATTTCTAGTTTCATTTCTTTGAAAATACATAAAATTAATTAATATATTTTCCTATTATTTGGAATCTTAATAAAATAAAAATAAAATAAATAGATTTATACTCATATAATTATATACAAAGGGAAGAATTATTTTGAAATAACTCTATTATTTTAAGGGTATTCTTGTCCTAAAGGGACTAACTTTTTTAATAACTAAGAAATGAAAAAGAATGGCATTCTCAGAACAACACTCAAAAATTGTTTTCGTAGATAATATTTCTTTGCGCTTGAGGGATCTGCTCTCAAACTAAACGTAAGTTAAGTTTTTTTTCTCGAAAAATATTATTTTTTCTGGTAATAATATTTTTGTGAATCAAATGTCCCTTAAGTTAAGGACTAATATTTAAAAAAATTTATTAAAACCAACATTTTTTAAGCTGGTGTGGGATATATATAGGTAGTTGGCTTCTATTTTTTATTTTGCAATGTTGCAACGAAATATTTTACAAGTTGAACTTTATTATCATACGTTTTACAAATCATTATTTGGAAAAATGATACTAAAATTTAATCAAACTATTATTATATAGACTTGATTACAAATAAAATATTTAAACCATGACTCTTTTTCGTTTAAGTGTTTAATTTTTTTAATCAATGTAGGTGTCTAATGTTTTCGATGTTATCATTTTAAGTGTATGGTGTGTCACTGTAACACCCTCAGACTGATGAGGGTGACCAGATCCGATCCGAGGTGTCACATTAGGACCACCGAAGTGACTCACAGTAAAAAAATCTAGCAAAAATTAAAATTTTTGTTAAAACGTGTAAAATTATAAAACAAATTTATAGATAAAATACAAGTTCAGAAAATCATTCATATATTACAAACATAATTAAAATCATACAAGTTTCAGACTCAGTATATAAAAAAAAATCAAATGTGACCTACATGCCCCTAATTACACATTGTACCGTACTCTGCAAGCAAAGCCGAAGGAACTCCCAATACTGAAGTTGATAGCTGGAATGGATCGATTCTTTTAACCTGAAATGGTGAGTAAAGAGTGAGCTTTAGGAAGCTCAGTAATACAGAACTACCAGATGAATGCAATTGGTCATCAGGTATATGGTAAAGTATAACTTTCATTAGCAAGACAATCATCGTCAGATTCTAGCTGTGAATTCAGATTTCATTAGCGAAATCTTCAGTTACAAACATAAATTTAATGTTTGAAGGAAGTCTTTAGAGACAGATTCAAAAGATTGAATTGGGGAGTCTAGTGTGTTCCAACAAAACAGATAAATGTGTATAGATCCTTTAAAAACATTAGTAGTTTAAAATATATTTTAAAACCAAGGTAATACCCTCCAACATCTGCATCCATAAGGACTTACTCTAGGCCCATTGGGCGTAGGTGCCAACCTAAGGGAGCACCTTGGGTCCATAAGGTCATACCCTGGCCGAAATGTAGGTGCCCACCTGAGGGGTGTGCCCTTAGGCCCATAAGGATTTACCCAATGCACACAACAGATGAGCCATCCTAAGGGAGTACCTTAGGGTTCAAAAGGTTTTACCACTAGGCCCATTGGTCCCACGAGCCAACCCAAGGGTCGCCTTAGGTCCATAAGGAATTACCAGCTTGATCGGTGCTGAACCTGCATGAGGAATTACCAGTTTGATCTGAGCTGAACCTACATACTCTATAATCCAACCTAGACAATATCCCGATAATCATTTCATACAGTAAACAGTAGATTCTATGATCTATAAATTAGGAACGATTATATTTTCTAGTGAAAATAGGTAACCAGAGAACACATATCATGTAGTCATAGTTCATAAATAGTTTAAGCGAGGGAAACACGAAACTTCTGTGTCAACACCGTTTTTCGCTCGGGCGGGGAAAAGCAATACCGACTCGGGGGTTTTCTCTTTGAAAATATTTTCAAAATGTGAGGAGTCGCCACCAATCATTTAAGCTGAGATTAGAACACCGTAAAAAATTGGGTGATTTTAATAATTTTTTTTATATTTATCAAAATAATGAGTTTTGGGGTCTGTAAAAATCCAGAAATTAGGTTCGAGAGTCGGTTACGTGTGGGGAAGGATTAGCACCCCCACAAGCGCCCAAAAATTTGTACCTAGTTGATTACCCTATATTTAAAATCGGAAATTTTGAGTTTGATCTTTATTTAATTTAAAAATGATTAGGAATGCAGAGTTTGAAAAGGGTATTCATTTATTGAGACCGATAGTATTCGCCCC